TATTTAGTTAAAAAATCATCTCTAAAATAATTTTGTTAGAGAAATTTCGATAAATAAAAACTAATTTTTAAAATTATTTAGAAAAAATTATTTAGTTAAAAAATTATCTCTATAATTTTGTTAGAGAAATTTCGAAAAATAAAAATTAATTTTTAAAATTATTTAAAAAATTATTTAGTTAAAAAATTATCCCTAAAATAACCTTTGTTAGGAAAATATCGATAAATAAAAACTAATTTTTAAAATTATTAAAAAAAAATTATTATTTAGTTAAAAAATCATTCCTAAAATAATTTTGTTAGAGAAATTTCGAAAAATAAAAACTAATTTTTAAAATTATTTAAAAAAAATTGTTTAGTTAAAAAATCATTCCTAAAATAATCTTTGTTAGGGAAATTCCGAAAAATAAAAACTAATTTTTAAATTATTTAAAAAATTACAAGTGGCTAAAATAGTCACTATTTAAATAATTTTGTTAGAGAAATTTCGAAAAATAAAAACTAATTCTTAAAATTATTAAAAAAAAATTATTATTTAGTTAAAAAATCATCCCTAAATAATTTTGTTAGAGAAATGGGAGATATTTGAAAAGCAAGGTCTACGTCAACAAATCAGCCACCCTCCAAGAACTCAAAACAACATCATTGCCGAGATAAATGCCATAGAACCGACCATGTTGCAAAATGTCATTGAAAATTTCGACCATCGCGTGAACGTCTGTAAATCCAGTCGTGGTGAACATTTGAGCGATATTATTTTTCATACATAAATGGAATAAATGAACCTTCAAAATAAAGTACCCAACTTGATTTGAATATCAATCTTTCTTGTTTTAATATGCGTTTACTTTCCTGCGTCCGTTTTGGACAACCCCATATAATAAATTAAGACAGGTAAGGCTTACTCCCTATTAAAAAAGTGATATACAGGGTGTTCGAAAAATAAACCGAGGTAATGTAGAGGGTGATTCCTTGTTAAAAAAATATGAAAGAGATTTTCTATAAACATGGGTCCGGAAATGCAGAGTTTTCTAGATACAGGATACTAGGCAGCAGCGGTGGTCGCAGTAGTAGACTCTTCGGTCTCCTGATCAGTCGCCGTGCGCTGAGCGGGTTCGAGTCCCGTCCCAGGAGAAATTTTTCTCTTGGCTATGGATGTTGTGATTGTCCGTAGGTGGTAGATGGTCTCTGACTGTCGAACGCGGAGGTACCACCCGGCGGTTCTGGTAGGAGGAGCCAGAATGTGTGCATGTTGCATGCACACGTGTTCCCTCGCCAGAGTCCGTGTGGCGTCCCCCCCTTTCCCATGTATCCCCCATAGCCCCACGGTACCCAATGGGTGCTTAGGCCTTAGCCCTTCGTGGTAGTTGGAGTATAAAAAAAAATGATAAATTTAAAAAAAACTTTTATTAATATCTTAAAATATATTTAGGTTCTCTGTTGAAATTTGGCAATATTATTTGTTGTATTAAGAGGCTAATTTAGCACTAAATAGATTCAAAATATTAGATCCACTGGCGTCCCGGGGACTACTCAGCGAATATTATTGGCAAAAAAATGTGTTGTTTAATTAAGCATCTAAAACTACAACTTCTTTGTCTCTTCTATTTTTCGCATCTCAGATCGTTTGCAAGAAAAATAATAAATCTGTATTATTGCATGTCACTGGACAAAATTGGTTTTTGCTAAAAAAACACAAGTGCCTAGGAAAACAAAAAATAATTTACGCATGAAGGTTTGATATTTGACCATCACTTCTTCTAGAAAAGAATTTTATTCACGAAATTTTCTTTGCGAAATTTCTCTGAAAAGTTTTTGTCTCGGTTTGTGTAATAGGAAATTACACTTTTGAAGAAATGGCAAGACATGCATGTAATGTCTGCATGTGCTTATAACTGTGATGCAGCGAGACGCTCCTGTATGGAGAAGCGTTTCCCCATTGGCAACTTCCAGATAGTAAACGTTTGAAAGCGTAGATCATAGATTACGGGAAAGAGGTGAATTTTCTCATTTCTTTTTAGTGATATTTTTGATGATCATGTTATTTCGGAAGTTGTGCCTGAGTTTGACGAGGTAGTTTTATGTGCCGTGGAACAAAATCCTGGACCAGGACTATAGCAACTAGATTAGATGGTAATCGTTCCAAAAGCACTGTGTGGCAGGTTATCTCCGAGCAACTTTTGTAACCCTATCATGTCCAACGTGTGCAAGCAGTTTTGCCAATGGTATTACTAAAATGTTAGTAACAATAGGAATTTTAATAAAACCATACTTCTTACGGACGAAGCAGCATTTCGGCGGGATGGTATTGTAAATTACCATAACACTCATGTATGGAGTGACGAAAATCCTCATGCTTATGTACAATGTCGCCACCAGAAACAATTTTCTTTAAATGTGTTGATGGATATTGTTGGTGACAATTTAGTTGGTCCTATCTGTTTGCCCATAAGATTAAACGGCGAATCTTACTTGAGTTTCTACATCAATTGGGACGGAATAGTGACAAAAAAGCAAAATTTTATATGTGAACTTCTGTTAAAGAGCAGCAACATTGACTGCCCTGAAAAAGCTAAAAAACTATTTTTCAGGTCAAGGAGAAAAATTGTGGCTTAGACTAAGGCATTTCCATTTATTGTTATATCGCCAGCTTATTGAAAAAAGGTGATAATTTCATTTTTCTCCTTTTCGAGTTGCGTACATTTTCACACTTGCATGTAGTTAGTACTTACGATGTTCTGTGAAATAAGGATGAAAAAATGTAGCGCAGTATTAACGTCATGAGCATGTTAATCCTGCGCCACAGAACATACAGTAAAGTGACGATACACGCTCTATTGTGGAGCTAGAAAGCCGTTTCAGCTATAGCTTGTGAAATATGAATTAAAAGGTTGAAGTCTTTTATTTAAATCCGCCATTTTGTTTTGTACTGCGTGACGTCATGGGCGCCGGCGGACGAAAATCGAACAGCGGCGGAGCCGAACGCATCGATCAAGATCTCTCCCCACTTCCTCGCGTATACGGTTGTCGCGTAATTCAAATTTGAAATGCGAACTTTCCCTCTGGACACCCTGTAGATGTACATGTTCTATTAAACTGTTTAATATGTTTAGGTATTTTAGGTGGGTCGTTAGCTTTTAATAAATTACCACGAATTATCCTAAAAAATTCTGGGCCTAACTCGATTTTGGTAAATAATTTTTTCTATATACACCATGTAAAGTGCCCTAGCGGATGAAAAACCATGTTCCGGGGCACAGTCGCAAAAGCCGCTATGTGGGCTAATAGAGTAGCAAAATTCTATGAGATATATGAAAAAATCCTGGACCTAACCCGCTTTTCGAAAATCATGAGCGTGTTTTCGATGTGTTTAATATTAAAATTAAGGTAGGGGACATTCCGTTCTGTAGACCATTTAGCTGGACATTGATTACAACGGACATAAAGTATAGCTGTCTCATGTGCTTAAGTTGAAAACTGCCATTGTTTATCATATTTTTGTAACATTTTGATTCGTGTTGCGCCCCAATATGGAAATTTTTTTGGGGTCCACAGGCACAATACAAAAAAATGCATAAAATAAACGATATTGCAAAAAAACAACATCGATTTGTGTTCATACGGCTTCAGATTAGGTGGTTGTATGTTGATATGACAATTTTTGTACACTGCTGACTTTATAAAGTTTTGGATCGCGCTTGATCGATGAGTTCCTCAACCACATACTAGCTTAGGTTACAGAGAAAAAAAATATGTATTTAAAGCTTAGCAGATATCTGAAAGTTTTAAATGAAAGGAGGTCTTTTTAATGACATATACATAAAAAGATACAGCCAGAGATGCATTGTTTTTTGCTACCCTCTGCAGGTTTCAAAATCCATATACAAATTTTGTCACACATATATCAATATCTAATCGCAAAACAAGAAAGAGATTGAGTCAACTCAGTGTTTTTATGTCAGTAGCTGGATTAAGTATCTCAAAGTTCATCAAAAAATTGGCAAATTTGTCCCAAACATGATTAGAAACTTACAGAAACTGTAAGAAAAACGAAGTTGCTTAAATGGGGCAAAGCTGTGTATTTAGGTAATCAACAAAATGTCGCTTAGTAAGTTCCGAAAACAAAGTATTTCCAGAATGATATGGAAAAAGTTTTTCCCTAACTTTATTCGTAGTGAGATTTCAAAATACCTTGCACATAAACATTGCCACTTTTTCTCCTCTACAAAATGGCATAATTTTAATTTCAATATGACGTTTCATAATTTGTCCTCCAGCATAAGCTTTATTTTTCCTTATGGACGCCATATTGCATTTTAGCATGGATAAATTGAGTTTCCAATTTTGATTCCAAAAATGAATAATACATCATAGATTGACATTGCCAAGCCTTAGTTATTTCCAAAAAAAGCAATTTCCTTGGTAGGCCTCGAAATTATCATATAGCCATTTGTTTTACATACAAGATTTGTCCCAAAGTCAATTTTATTTTTTTCAAACTGTAATTGAGATAGGGTTCCAAAATAATCTGCATGTTATCATTGCCACTTTTTCTCCTCTACAGGACAACATAATTTGATTTCATTATGACACTTCATCTCTTGTCCTCCAGCATCAACTTAATTTTTTTTCTTATGGACGCTATATTGGATTTTTGTGCAGATGAATAGAATATTTAAATCTGATTTCAAAAATGACAATGTGCAATTTATTCCAAAATCCCACTTCAAATAAAGTCAGGAAAAATTGAAACAATTCTGGAAAAATTCGACATTTTCCGTCTCTTTCCGGAAGTACTCTGAATTTCGAAACTTTCTAAGCAGTATTTTATTGATTCAGTAAATAGGCAACTTTGCTCCCATTTAAGCGGTTTCGTATCTCTTACAGTTTCCAAAATCCTAATGGTGAGTGTAGAATTTGAAACACACTGTATACGCCCCTGATGGTGTGCGGTTCTATCGTGGCTCATTGAAATATCAACATCAAAGTGTCATAACGAACTCACCTGGGTCTTTGCTTACTGGTGCAACTGAACATGGCAGGTGACATTGCTTGCATACAACAGACTTCACAACTCCTAACATTTTCTTGAGTTTTCTTGCAGATTAGGATGCCTATGATGATCAAGTGAATACGTGAACTAGAAGAAATTATATATTTTATCCGAAAGAAAAAGAATAAACAATCAATCATACCTGCTTAGTATCGCCAACGGTACAGAATGGGGATAAAACTTGATGTAGATGTCAAATGAAGTACCCACAACAAACCTTCCAACTTCCAATATCGAAAAGTGATGATATCTCAATTAGTGGTGTTAATTATTTGAATCACGGCAGAAAGGCGTATGCACGATGTGCAAAGATGCTGGGAATTCAAAGCAGACAAAGTTATAAAGTAATTTCGTATCAGCAGACCAACAACACAACGGAGAGACGGAGACCGAGACCTAACTAGAGCAACGATGCGGTGCTGCCAGATAGCAAAAGTAAAATTATATGAAAGATGGAGGGTAAAGTATAGAAGCACATAGAAGTTATAGTCTTTTCACCCGCTTCGGTGGGTCATAACTCATAGTAAAATTACCGGTATCTCATCATAGCTCGATATCGCTCACACATACCTATGTTTGTGCAAGCTCACCGTCATACATTTTTTTATGTGGCGTACCCACTGGAAAAAAAGAGACTTGGCAACACCGCGGTTTAGGCGGTTTCTGGTGGTTTACAGCACAAAACACACACTGTTCACAGATGCGGTAACGCTTGTCAAAGCTTAGAAACAGGTATACTAGTCTACCATTTTCGTTCCTACCAGTGGTAAAGGTTTCCTAACGTGTAATAAAACCAAAAGCCATTGAGTACAATTGCCCGGTAGTGGAACAGTACGTGCACAGTAAGCACTTGCGTCAGATCCCATTATTTATTTAATGTAGGTATTTTCTGATAAAATGATGGGAGTAAAATACAAGGTGGCCTAAAAGCTATGCAACAGAACGTATTGTTATAGGACAAATTCTTGCTAAATAATTAGAGAAAGAACACTATACCAGGTGTTTCAAATTCGACCCTCACCACTGGGATCTCGGAAACGGTAAATGGTGGCAAGTTGCGTATTTATAGGAAACGAACAAAATGCTGCTTACAGTTTTAAATTCAGAGTACTTTCGAAGAGAGACAGAAAAAAAAGAATTTTCCCAAAATCATTTAAATTGTTGTATGAGTTTGTATTATGTAAATGTCTGTGCTCTGTGCTTTGACACGTGACAGTTGTGCATTGTGGGGCGGTCAGCAACAAGGACAGTCCAGCTTGCTTGATAGATTATAAGGAAACCTCCTGTAAACTCTGGATCTTTAATGAAACTTATAAAAAGTTTGATCAAGTATAAAACAGGCATAACTAAAATTTCAATATGACGTTTCGTCTCTTGTCCTCCAGCATCAAATTTATAGAGTTTTTAATTCTGATTTCAAAAATGTCTAATATTGAGTTACTAGGGAGTTCCGGAACGTCCAATAAGGTCAGGCACTAATAATTCCTGGCCGGCTTTGATATCTGAGCAGGCGCAGTAAAACAAAAATAAGACTTGGAATTAATAAAAATAGTGCCTACCACTATTACAGAAAGATTAAGATCGCGGCACAGCCAAAACTACTTTGTTACTTCTTGTGCGATCTTACAATTGATCAGAATTAGATTTATTGGGTGCATTCCCATGCACAATTTCTAACCTATAAATATTAGGATACAATAAACTTATTTAAAAGTGTCCCATGAATTATAAAATTTTTCTATTGTTATTGTACTTCTTCGTGTTTTGCAACTAGTAGGAGGTAAATTACAGTTTTTTTTGTTTGAATTTTACGACCAAAGGGTCAATGATTTCCGCCATACTCGTATATCTAGTAATACGAGTACTTCAAAATCCCCGATATCGGTACAGGACACATAATTCTGACGGATCCGTCAACGACAGGAAGACAGAGCCGTATTTTGTTTTGATTTTTTGTACGCTACAGATTAATTTTGTACTTGCTAATAGCTCTTTTATTTAGAAAAGCTTATTTGCATACAAAAAACAATACGCCACAAACAAGTTTACTAGATTTATACCCAAGTGTACCTTGTAACAATTTACGAACGCAGCCCTGATAAGCTGTTCACTTCAGTAGTCAAAGCGTGATAAATACTCGTGAAATAGGGCATAGCGTTGGCTGTGCCACGATTTTAAGCATCCTGTAATAGTGGCAGGTACTAAATTTATTAATCCCAAGCCTCATTTTTCAATAGCTATCTATTTTGCCGTTATTTTCAGAAGCATTGCCACACTATCCGATTGAATGTTTTTAGAAAGATGTAAATGTGTCGAATTGATATTTTAGTGTAGACATTTAAAATTATTTTCAAAGTGTCTACTTATTGATGAAGTCAACTTCAAGCCGCTATGAACCTGTCTACTTGCACTCTCTTGTGATTTTTGTTATTCAGGAACATCACAAATGTACGTCGTGATTCTGGATCATAACATTATCAGTTTATTACCATCCTCCATTGTCAACAAAAACGATGAAAAAACATAAATCAAATTCAAGCGGATAACCAAATAGACATAGTATTTACCATTTTCGGTTGGTATTTACCAATCCGTTCAAGCGAGTGTAGGTAGTTATCAGTTTGGATATAAGATCCGTGACGTCACGAATCAGCTGTTATATGTCATAGTTATCACCGCAAAATTGTGGTATTTACCCAACTCAAGAGTAGTTTTATATTTCTGGTTATTATTTGAAATGTGACGAGTTAGAATTTTGCCGGGTATTGGATATTGTTATTGTACTTCAGCTTCATTTTTGAGAAAAATGATACAGGCTGACTTCAGTTTTACCATAAAGTGGAGCACCTCATTAGTTATACTCATTACGGTTGTTGGGGACACTTTAAATGTAGTTCCTATGCTTAACAAAGTATCCTGTGTAGCCATATACCACAAGAATATTAAAATATGGCCATATAAACTCACTAGATGATATCCACCTGTATACGGTTTTGCTAATTTATTTTTTCATCATTCCTGCTGAATCAATAAATGTTTTCTTTGACATGCGGAAAAATTTAGAGAATTGAAAGTAATCATAGCTACAAAGCCATGGTTCCATCATTAAAAAAAAAAACTGAAAAAAACATTTCTCCCATGAATATTATGAAAGGTTTCTTATTTAAACTTTCCATATACAGTTGTAGACGAAAAAGCACCGATTATTACGTGATAATAAAAATAATCAGAGATTATATACGCGCTTTTCTAAAATAAACAACTTGCAACAAAACCGCGGTTGAAACCAACGCGTTCAAGCGATTCGTGTAACTGACGTCATCAACCCGTGTGTCATCTTGAACCATATTATAACCGCGGCACATAACACAGAAATTTTGGTTATTCGCTTGGATTTGATTATTACCTAACAATCTTGACGCATTGTCATTTTCGTTATCCCCACTATTTCGGAGCGCAGGGGATTTCAAAAATGAGCCGCTCAGGTGCATGACGCTCTAGAGCAGTGAAACGGTATTGACATGTGGTGGTCAGTACCGAGTTACTCCGAGTAATGCGGGTCTCAAACGATGCTTCCAACGTTGTATACAACGTTGTTTACAACGTTAGACACTCCGTAATTGGCAAGCGTGTCTCCTACACGATAGGATGAACTTTTCAGTCTCGGACGTCCGACGCATGGTGGTGCCAACGTCTGTTATCGGTGTCAGTGTCGCGCTTGAACCGAAGGAAAAAGTATACAAAATAAGCGATCGACCAAAACTTAAGACTATCAGAAGCCTCAAAAATATCGAAAAACGAAGTTTGAGCGTTTTTTTGTTAGTATTTCGATGACAGCTCCACCGCCACTGTACCGATTTGCAAAAACTGCAGAGCTTTATCGTCATTTTCATAGTAGTCACCTAGGGCCAAAGTCTCATCAAAATCCTGATAGTACTTTCAGAGTTATCATCTATTTAATCTTTTTCGTTAGTTATGAAATGGAATTCAATATATTTGTCAACTACTTGATAATTTATAATTTACTAAAATACATATCCTTAGGCCAGCCATAACTCACCTGCGAAACGTACAAAATATTAGCAATATGAAAAAAATGTTGTTATGGCAGCCTATGCCTTGTATGTACGTATACTAATTTAATCCATTCTCCTCAAAAGTTAGTTACGGAACATACATGTTGTTTTTTTTTTATATCGAAACAGCCGCGCAGGCAGAAGCCTAAATGCCGGAACACCGCGGCTGCTATGATGATCCCAAAGAAATTTTGTTGATACGATTTCTGAACTGCCTAAGGTTAGTAGAACTGGGAAAAGCTTCCTCCCGTAGATTGTTCCACAATCTAGACACCCTCGGGACAAAGGAGCGGTCGTATCGGCCAGTTCTGGATGTACGAAGTTTGACACGGTTAGGATGGGACGCCGAAGTCAGGCGGGTCTGTCTGGCAGGCACATCGCGCGGCGGCATCATGGAAGAGAGCTCTGAGGAGCAAAGCCCGTTGGTGTAGCGAAAGAAAAGAGCTAGATCGCCGACGACCCGCCGGTGCGAAAGAGTCCCGAGACTGTCTGTTAGAGAAGAGTCATCGATCAGTCGGACCGCCCTCCTCTGGGCAGCATCGAGCATGGACAATGTAGTCGGGGCGGCAGCACCCCAAATGTGTGAGCAATACTCGAGGCCAGGCCTTATCTGGGCCTTGTATAGAGTGAGAATGTCATGCGGAGAAAAGTACTTCTTAGCCCTAAACAAATAGCCTAGCTTTTTCCCAGTAGCTGCAGCTATTGAGGAGATGTGTTCGTGCCAGATCAGGTCCTCGGTGATCTGGACTCCGACCAGCCGAAATGAATGGCTCTTTGGTAGAACTCGACCGTCCATCGAAACTGTATGAGCGCTAGGACGCTTTTTGTTCGTCAAAGTACAGTGCTGTGTTTTGGAAGCATTGAACTGTACAAGATTGTTGCGTCCCCAAGCAGTGATAGCCTCCAGGTCTCTTGTCAGAGAAGAAGTCGTCGCTAGTCTTCTTCTTTCCAGCTCAGCGGCAGAGATCGGCTTGTCACTCTGATTTCCTGCATGTAGAGTGCTGTCATCAG